CCTTGACATGGTCACTGATGGAAGCACTGCCAAACCAAGCATACCTGCTCTTTTCTTGTTAGGACGGGATGGGTGAGAGATGCAGACACACACACACACACACACACACATATAAATTCTGTTGCATTCGAGCAATTATCCTATGAAAAGCAGGGACACCATTTCCTCTTTCTGTATTTTTAGGATGATGATCAGAAGATCTCTTCAGAGACAAGCACTGCCTTGGGCTGTCATTTCAATTCCTGTCAATGTTTCTGCTTTGGCCTCGTTTCCATTCAAGCAGCCTCCTTGGACTCTTTGGTAGAAATGACTCACTCACAAATTCATCCAATAAACAGTTTCTGTCATTGGTGCACAACATGTAAATTGCAACTAAATCTGAAGCCTCACAAGGACATTTCTGATTATGGTTGGCACGTGCACCTGCGCTAAGTCACTAAATCTAACATATAGAATGATTGCACTCAGAGCCTGTAGAGTATGGGAGAAACTTGTTTAGCCACTGAACCTGGAACAAATCATCAAATAAAAAACGAAACCTGCATGCTCATTCTTAGTGCTTAGCTAAACTTGTGTGTCCAGGAAAACAGTCTCCAGGAACTTGTGTTCAGATGCTTTGTATGTCGTTTTGGTTACGAAACTGTGAAAAAATGTTGAGAAACAGAAACGACCTTCCTTCTGTTTTATCAAATAGTCGAAACTGCAGGGGGGAAAAACCAGGCCATTACATTCCTGTTTATGTGCATCAGCTTGTAACAGTGTGGTTCTCTTGTGTGAATGGAAAAATTTTTTTCTCATTATGGATAAGTAGAAACTTCAATTTAAAAAAAAAAGAAAAATTGACTTGTTTGATATTTTAGTGCCTTTTGTCTGTGCATTTTAGTTAGTTCACTGACACATTTGTTTGTAGTTTCGGTAAACAGGACTGATGAAAATTAAAAGCATGAGATGCCACGAATAGCCTTGCTGAAAATAATAATAGACATTGTGATGATATTGCAAAGACATGTTAATCTGCACAAAGTTAACTGGAAGGCAGCTATTGTAAAGCTCTAAAGAGAGCTTTGACTGCTCTGGAAACACCATGTCAGAGTTCACCCTAGTGAAAATAATTGCCACTACATTATCCTGTATTTTATTTTTAAGAATGTCCTGATTTGAATAGGCTTTGTAAATAAAGTTGTATGTTTAAGGTTGTAAAGACTTTATTTGTTGGCCAGAAGATAAATACCAACACTAATTTGGGATGAAAAGTTTTGCCTGGTCAGCTTAAAGTAAAGATGCTCTAGTTCAGCAAATAGTTACAGTGCTTTGGACAATGGAGCAAAGCAGCACTCCAGGTTAGTGAAGAAATAATACTTCATTGTTGTGTATCTAATGAAATCAGAATACCACATACAACTAAAGTGGCAGTGGCCATGGTGACAAAAATAAAAATCAGCACCAAAATTCAGCACTCAGGGGGGAAAAGGATATTTTGTCAAACCAGAGATGATGGTAAGGATGTGTAAGCTGTGCAATTGACACCCATGTGGGGAAAAAAAGTCTGCGTAATTGGACTGGATGTATGAACACATAATGACTCAGACTGACACTAATGATTGGCCCAAGGCCTGTTTTGGCCTGCCCTGATGAGTTTTCAGGCCGCAAAGAATCTGCACAGGCGCCACTCCATCAGCCACTGACGGCCCATATTTATTAAATGGGATACGCTGGCGTCAGTTTTGCGGCTGGTGTACTAACAATGTGCTAGTTTAGAAACAAAGACGCAGTTGGTTCATTTCAATAATAGTCAGCATTCTACCAAAAACTCCTCTATTAGAAGTTGCTGGGGGCTTTGTGAAGTCCTGATGGACTGTGACTCAGATCGAGCACATTTATCTGAAGGAGAGCTGCTGTATTATAAACGATCCCAGCCATATGAAGCAGAAATTGTGTAACACCTGACCTTTACTATAAATAGGTGATGGAAATAATATTTTTTTTAAAATCCGTCAGATCAGGCTGTGTTTATGAAGAAATGCATAAATATCAGCAGTGCTATTTTTGCAGGGTGTTTGAAACTGTAGGCACTTAGGAAAGTCAGTGTTACATGTTGAGACATTCATACATTAATTTAAATTACTAACGAGGCCCTACCTGCATTTTTCTTGACGTATGGTATCAATGGTATATGAAATGGTAGCGATTGTGTCCCTGCGTGTGCGCACACTGCTCAGTAAATACAGGCAGAGACGTTTACCGATTATGCGCTGATCTCTGTATAGACTGTAAACGCTGCAGACTACTCGGCTCACTGTAAACAGCAGCTTGCCTACATGTAAAACAAGAAGGCTTGTGCCAGGATTCCCCTCGTTCCTCACGTTCCCTTCAGTTCGGTTCAGCCAAAGGTTTTGGCATTGGACTCAGCTGTGATTCATTCACGCGTCACAGTTACGCACGCTGATAACATCGCCCCCGTCTTATTTCAAATAAATGAATACTTTGGCTATCATAAATCCCACAACGGAAAAAATAGATCATGCTGTTTTCTTTTTCCAGTGTTAAATTTAGCATCAAACTGTTTGACCCATGATTAATTGAAATCCTCTCCTCCCAAAGTTCGTATATCCGATGATTGATATGTTCCTGTTCATTTTCACTTGTGCAGCCACCGCCAAGACCGTTCACCCGTTCACCCTGTGTGGAGTCCTTGCTGGCCTTGTTACATTTATTACTTAATGGTACTCACCTTTACAGGAAAAGAGCAGACTGTATAGTAGACCATTTAAATAAGCATTGACCGCGTCAGTATTTTTTAAGGCACACTAATAAATGAGCGGCATAGTGTTTCATGTGCATTTGTATAGCTTGATAAAGGAGTAGTATATACCTTCAGTGTAGACCATAGACTGCTGTGCTAGTTATTTATACTATTATTCTAGTGACACTATAAATGTGCCACTAGAACAACTTGATTGAGATTCTGGAACTCGGTTTGGCCAGAATTTGTCTCTAAAATCTTCTCACATTTGATGTGGAAGGTACTTTTTTTATTTTATTTGTCGACCAAATAAAGTTTCTTTTACGTTTCCCTCAAAAAAAAAGGACAACAAAATCCCCTTTTTCCTTTCAGTCAACGTTGTCTTTGTTAAATCTGCCGCTATTTGGTTAACGCAGCATATCGGTCGCACGTACTCGCCTGCACATACACGTTTGAACTGTTTTTTGTTTCTAAATGTTACAGTTTTTAAAAGTATGCACAGAGTTAAAGCTGAAGTTTTAGTTGACCTCAAAGTGTGCAGATGAACACATACATTTGTTACCGTCTGTGTATTAAGGTTATTCCTAACTGCGTCATTTGCGTATTTTTTTTTATTTTTTTTGTACAACCCGGGGGGGCTGACAGCCTATTCCAGCTATCACAGGGCGACTCTAAACTCAAAACGGACCCCATTCCTCTTCTTAAACCCCAACAGGAGCTTACTTGATGCCAAAAGAGGGTTTGGGGCTGGCGCAGACCTTTGCTAAATCAGACCCTTAATATTACGATAACAACTGTAGAAAAAAGTTTGTATTTATTAATGCTATTGCATTCAATACTATTAAAGTGTCAAATGAAATTCAAGCGATTAAGCTAAATGTGCATATTTTATTTCCTCCATTTGGAGAGAAAAAAAGAAGTGTCAGAAAGTCGCATCAGTGGGTCCCGGCAGGACTACACCTGTTGACACACGACTTCACAGGAAAAGAGGCGACTCTGAAGGAAAGAGAATTGAAATGCGTATTGACTGCATCATCTGGATTAAAAAAACAACAGAGGTAAAATGATAAATTAGCTGCGCATTGTGTCAGTTACCTCCTGCTGCATTTAGGGCACACTTTCCCCCACACAGTCTTTATCGCGGCTTCTCTCAGAGCCGGACTCCCCCAGATGTACACAGATGGTGTAAACAAGGCATTGAAACGAGCCATGATGGCGAACAAATTGGTGCCCTCATTTCTAAAATTCAAACCTCCTCCTGTCATTAATGTAATTGTAATATTCACAAAAGCTGGAGACCACAACACCAAGAAGCTTATGACAACAAAAATGATTATTCTCAAAGATTCCTTCTTGCTTTCTTTCTCGGTGCTGGGAGGATCTCTTTCAAGCAATGAGCAATGAGATACAATTTCAATGTCATGGCCACTTTGACAAGCACTATGATTTGAAACATGAGAATGGTGACTAAATACATTTGTATAGCTTGATAAAGGGGTAGCATATTCCTGATGATCAAGTGGCCATAAGTGTAAACCCAGCTGTAAACATTAATGCATATCACACATTATCTCGTTACGAAGCGGCTGTAGATAAATGGGTGGCACACAGCAAAATAGCGGTCAAATTGCGCGAACATAAACGTTAATACATTAACGCCTAAAAGGGAAGATAAAGACCGAGATAATACACTGAAAACCCGATAAGCGTGTCAGCAATAGTGTTTAACATGAAAATAAATCTGTTTTGAATGCGCAGAGCTCTGGTGGACAAGATGCCGATGACTACTGTTCCAGCTGTCATAACAGTGGTTGTGGCAAATAAAATCTGGAAAATGAAGATGAAATAATCTTCGGGTTTACTGAAGTCCACCGACAGAGGCACAGCCCTGCCCAAAGATTCTGTCATGTTAGAGAGGCGCATTGTTTATGCGCAAGTGGCTTTTGAGAACACACTTATGTGCGCAATGAAGTCACAGGATTAATCTCATGAGATGACAAAGGAACTCTACTCGTGTGTTTTGTTTGTTTTTTGGCCCCTATATAGCTAAACCATTTATCAGATGCTTATAATAATTATTTATCAGAAGAATATAATGGTTTTATAGCGATTTGGCGAGTTTTGGTCCTCAACCTAATGGAACTGTTGTAAAAAAACAAGCAGATAAAGTAATTGATAATGTATGCAGGTTTCCTTAATGAGCCCAAGTGCGGTGATGGGCATTTGGAATGTGTGTCCAGCTATAGTGGACAACTCCCTGCATTCATAATCCGTATAACGTAACAGAATTTTATCAGTGAGCATTTTGTGACCTCCATCATCTGTTTAAGAGGGGGAAGCATTAAGCCGCTGTTATGGTTGTTGAGCATAGTATAAATCCCATATAAGAGACCTTTAAATTATCTCCTTAAATCTACACTGTAGGTATGTGTAGATGCAAATTCGTCTGAACCTCTGCGCTATAAAAGTCAAAGCAGCCTACGTTGGCCCTGACTGGCTCTTTGATATTGTGCTTTTACACACCAGCACACCGCAGGCTATAGATTTAATCTAAAGTGACCCACTTAAAATGCAGCCTTGAGATCTTTTCTCAGGCACCTCACCCCCCACTCACATCTCCCGTAATAGATCGCATGAGAGGGTGAGGTAAAGTCTCACGCTGGTTTCAGTATAAACCTCTGGTAACAATAACCCACAGCTTTTTGCATGCCTGGACATCCTTCCGTTTTTGTAGTCAGACTTTTGCATATAAATGTAAATGCAATACCATGACTTAACCTTTAGCTGCTGTTTTATATTGACTGTGGCCTTGACCTATTGCAGTCTACTTCAAAATTATATGTGTATTTATTAAAAATATTACACTGCACGCTGGAATAAGAGTAGAAGTTCTCTCTCTGTGGCCTCTAGATTCACTCCGTTTCTTGTTTAATTCATCTAAGTATTGAAACATGTATTCCTCTACATCGCCACCAGGGGCAGATCTCCAGATTGCAAATAGACTTTATCCAGTAGTTAAAGAGAACATCTTGCCTCATGCTTTTATTTCGAAAATACTTAAACTCAGGTTATAATGACGACATGAAGTTAATTTCGTAAACTTGAGTCAGGATTAATCAGGGCGTATGACTTGTCAGTCACAAGTTGTTAATGAACTGGCCTGCAGTCTGATTTTACAGTTATGTTATAAAAATAGGACTTCACTACCGGTGACATCATGGCGGCTACTTCGTCCTTTCGTGTGTGACTGTGGGCCAGCTGCCACTAGCACTGACGGGATATGCACTTATAGCATCAGCTGCAGCAAAGTCAGAAAGCGTCGCTCATTTCAGATTTTTCGCTTTGTCGTTTTTCTCTTTTTCTCTTTTTCTTTTCTCTTTTGCATTTAATATGCTTGAGTATTTGTTTCGCTGGGATCAAATGAAGGGAAGTTTT